TAATGTCCTCCATCCTCTTCAGTCAGGTGTGATATGAGTAGAGAGAGATTTCCTGGAGAGTGACCATTAACCAGCTGAACTCTGTTTCTGTACTGACCACTCTCACTGGATATCACAATCTGTCTATTTGTATTGTGTTTCTCCCAGCTGAATCTCTCAGGTTTGGCATATAGGTCAGTGCAGTAGCAGGGCAGCAGTACTGACCCTCCTGTATGTGCTGTTATTGTCAGTATCCTTTCAGTGTTTGCCAGAGTGCAGCCTACAGAAACACACATCAGTAAGGGAGGTTAGTTGCTCTCTTTATCTGATGTGATTACATGTTATAAACCAAAACAAAAGCTTAGGCCGACCAAGGTTGGTTCTAATTCTCATCATTAAAAAAAATGCAAATTTCCAGCATAAATATTTCAAAAAATTTCAGCATAAATAGTGTCACACTCACCTTCAGAGACATGAAGCCCAATGAAGAGAAGATAGAAAGTCAGCAACATTCTCACTAGTAAAACAACACTGAGTTCACAGCCCACTGACAGCTCCACACCCAGCACTACACTAGCCCTGTATACCACACTGAGTACACAGCTCTCTCAGCAGCTCTTCACTGGAGTCTAACCCACTCTAATGTCCGTGCAGCTCACAGGAGCTGGGAGATGATCTTCTTCGGAAGAACTCTTCTGTCCTTCAAAAGTTCCCATCAACAGTTTTCTCAGACGCATGAAACCAGTGATGTCATTTCCTCTGTGTTATGATGACGCTTGCTTGTTTCATATCACACACACACACCCACACAGACCAGGTTACTATGTCTGCAGTGGGCCTGGGGTGGAAGGGTGGTTCCCCTGGCCGGGCAACCAGAGCCCTGTCTATTTGTATGTGTACACTTTTCTATGGTATTTGAGCATGGCGGCTGCCCTTCTCTTATTTCATGATGAACAGACCAACAGAAATGTTCCAAAAGTGTATGGAATAAAATTACTACATTATATTAAATTACATTGAAAGTAAAGAACATTTATTACCCTCTTCTGCAAAGTTACCATTGTGGATACTTGTTTTTCTTTGGGCAGCGACGATATATTTAAACCCTGTCACAGTCATCTGTGATCATTCCCTGCAACATCCTGTTATGCTATAGGTGTTAACCACAACTCTTTTAGATGTAGAAAGCCCCTCTGCTTGTTCTTAAAACATCACACCTCCCTTGTTTTTTCCACTCTTTTGTGACCACTAGTAAATATATATGTTCTCATGAAGCAAGCAAGGCTGGCAAAAGCAAATGAGCACACAAACAGAAGCATGCATGAGCTTCCCTCAACCGCAGATATTAACAAAATATGTCATGATAAGCCATGACAATATGACATCTGCTGTAACATATTCATGTCATGGTTATGTCAGTGTTCTGTAACAAGGTTCAAGTAAATAGGTACAAAAGTGTCACCAAATCTACACTGCCCATCAAAAGTTTGGACACATGTACTAGTTGTTATATTTATGGCCACTATGGGCAGGATTCATTTTGAGTCATTGTGGATAAACAAGCAGGCTTATTGCGGCCTGTGAGGTGGGTTTACGGGGTATTACGGCTGGCTGAGTGGGGTGTGTTTAAAAAAGCAGGGCAAGCAACAAATAAGCTGCAAGCATACTTCATAGAAAAACATGTTAGTAATTACCACAATCTGTAAAACACGAAGCTATATAACATGCTTTTGTAACCCCTGTTTTTGACCCCTGTTCATTTAATTTCATCTTACTTGTAGACTGTTGTAAATATAAAACACAGATACACAGATAAAAAAGAAGCAAAGCCAATGTGGTTACATGGTCATGTTCTACACCAGCGGAGTGGTTTACATCAAACACAGGTTGGAGTGGACAAGGGCCATAAGAATAGCTCAAAGTAAGCAGATGCAGGTGGGCAAGGCATGTGGTTGAAGTGGGTTTGTGCAAAAATGGCACTAGGTTCTGCAGGCAGGTGTGGGCAAGAAGAACACTAGATTTGGCAGTTATAGGTGAACGTGATTGATAGTAGGAGCTGACAGGTGCAGTCATTAATAATAAGGCCATGTAGACCTCTAGACGATGCTTGGTATGGAAAAGGAAACCCATTTAATGAAACTCTTGACGCACAGTTCTGATGTTGCTTCCAGATGCAGTTTGGAACTCTGTAGTCAATAATGCAACAAAGGATGGATGATTTTTGTGCTCTGTGTGCATGATCAACCGATGGTTTCATTTTACTGAATAGCACTTACAGTTGTCTGGGGCAGATCTAGCAGGGAAGAAATTTCACATGTTGACTTGTGGCAAAGGAGGTATCTATATTCATGAAATTTAAAGGAAACAGGACCGTTCTAAAAATGCAGTAGCCTAGTCAGGGGTGTAGACATGGAATGGCCTTAGTGAGCCATAATACTCACTGTGTTATGGCCAAATAAAATCATTGTGCTCTTTGCCAAGCTTTACTTTATTTTCTCAGCCCTCCAACCACTGCTTAGCAACTGTTGCTATCTGCCATTGCATTAAGCCTTCAGTTTGTTATCAGCGCCTGTCATGTCCATAACTAGAGAACATAGAGGCCTGCAGTAGTTTCAAGTTGTATGAGGTTCAGTGTGGAAACAGCAAGGTGACCTCAGAACAGCTGTTGACCTCAGGACAGCTGTGGTTTGGCCATAGATAACACGTAACTGTTGTAGCGAACACTGGCTGAAACGAACACTGGCCGAAACATGACCTCAAGTTGAACGTTTACTTAAACTCATCAACAACCAAAAGCTAAAAGCCTTTTGGCTCCAGCGAGTCTGGAGCTGAGGTGTAAATCTGTCACTTATCACCCCCAACTCCCAAAATCAGTCGATTCACAGCTGAATCAAGGAACAGCACCCCTCTCTCTCCCTTGACCCAGGGGCAACAGGACCCCTCATTGGAATGCAGCTGCAAGGCTCGCCAAAATCCTGTGAACAACTCAAAGTAACAGAAAGTACATTTCTAATGTATACATCCAACCCAAACTGTAACCATTCGTTAGATCTCTTTTCAACTAAACTAGACATACCAAGAACGGGACTGATACGACGACCTGGACTGGAGATTTCAGTTTCCTAAATTCCCTGAGGATCTCAAGCATGGACCCACAGCACCCCCAAGGGGTGAAAACGAGGATTACCACGCCACCACCTAAGGACTGTTATGCACAAAGGATCCCAGGAAAACTCATTGATATGCATGCTCGACTATCAACTTTATCTAACCTCACGAGTGAGGATGCTTGTATTTGTATACTCAGTTACTTAAAGTGTATTCATCCTTTCTTTGTCAGACGTTAGGAATGTGTGGGATAAATGTCTGAAGTTACCGAAATAACCATTTAAAGTAGTGATTTTAGACCACTATGCACCTAGGTTTTCTTGTCACTTATTTTATTTAGCCCTCTATATGGTTACTCTTCTCATTTACTTGATATAGTCATTTGAAATAATGATTTTACTGTGTTTGAAGTTCCTGCAACAGAAAGACACCCAAGGATTATCTATAAAATTGTTTCTGCCTTTGCCATAATTGTTCTCAGATAATGTGGGTAGAAACTACACGTAGATACCTAAAACGTTAGATTTGCAGGTTATGGATTTTAGTAACCTAATTGATCCGAAAACTGTTTTGTTTGATCGAATTAAACTTTTAAACCTAGAAGGAACAAAGGAGGGAGTTCCCTGGTAGGGCGCACAGAAAACCCCCACCAATCAGGACCAAGAATTAGGAATAGCTAATTACCCGTTAGGTGAGAGAACCTATCAACACCTCTGCTCCACCCCTGAAGGGAAGGGCCAACAGTCGGGCAAAACCGGCGTGCAGTCCAACTTTAGTCAGTTCGAGCTCGCGTTCCAAAGAATCAGCAACTGCCAAGTCCATGCCAACCGCGGTTAGGAAATTAGAATTTAGAACGTTTATATCAGATCTGAAGTTCGTGTCGTCTGTGTAGTGTCTTTGTTTGTACCTGTAAGTAACCCAACCTTAGAGAGGAAAGTGAAGATTTCTTTACGTGGCCAAGTAAGGAATTTCTTCAAGTTTCAGCTCTGACGAAGATAAGTAGTTGTTTAGGTTAGTAGTCTCGAAATTTGACTTTATCCACCATAGCCACCTTGAGTCAAGGCAATCCGGGACGGCAGACCTGAGATTCCCTTTGAGCCACACCTCAATCAGCAGGCAGACTGAGCCGAAGGGCCGCCTCGCTGTAGGCTACAGCCTCAAGAAGCAAGCCAGGATCCGGAATCCCTTCCTGGTCTACACCTCAACCGCCGAGCGGGTCAACACCGAGCGACCACCCAGATTCCAAGCTCCATCATCGGGTAGTCGAGCCGCCTTGAGCTGGTCATCGACCGCGGTGCATCGCCTGTGCGAAGCCCCACCGAGCCTCCCGGTCCAGCGACGGAACGTAAGCGTGTGAGCTCCCGCCGGGTCTCAGGCGACCCATCTCAGAGGACCAGTAGTCCAGGTTCCCGACTCTTATAATAATAATTATACTCATAATTTGATTAAAATTGCAATAACTCCTACACTGTTTATCTCTGTAGGAGATGCTAGGTTGATTGTAGCCCATCTGTTGTAATACAATTTTTCAGCTCTTCTCTACGTCATTCATCACTGGCAGTCCCAGTAGGATCACTGCTGACCAGATATTACTCAGGTGAATTTGAAAATAAGGCTAATATTTGACTTCAAATAATGCTACAATTTAGTCCAAGAACAGGCTTCATCCATGCCCAGAAAACCGACTCAATACGTTCATGAAAATACTGAAGATAAAAAATAAAGGAGTGAATTTACAGCTGAGATATGAGTTTATTTACTATATTTTTGTTTTGTTTTTTTGTACTTAAATTTTATTATCAAATGATGTTCAGATAAACTCAATTAAAAATGGATAAGTAAAAGAAAAAGCAAAAAAGTCAATGAAGAAAAAAAATCTCCAAAAATGGTGGTGGTGGGGGTAGGAGGTGTTGTTAGTTGACTCTGATGGTGGCATATTCAGTCTTATCTCCAGTGTTGGTGATTGTGGGTAAGCTGGTTGTGTTACTGTGGACTACAGTAAAGTACGTCACATCATCCTGCAGATAAAACACAAAGGAAAACATAACATTAAAATACAATAAACTGAGTAAAGAATTTGAAAGAGCCGACATAAAATAAGCTAAAGAAAGTGTGAATATTTGTACATACGCTATATACATATGTGAATATCTCTATATATGTATGTCTAAGTAGACTCATACCATAAAAAAAAACTTTTGTATACAGAACATTACAGGATATATGAACATTCCTAAAATTTAACATTTGTAAAATGCCTCCTCATTTATTTATTTATTTATTTATTTATTATTTCTTACATGTCAACTGCCCTTTACAACTTGTGAACATTTCATAATAAATGTACCAATAGGAATCATATAAAAAATACAAAAAAATACTATGATATTCAAAAGATAAACACTTTACATTAGCTTTCCTTAAAAGTTGGGAAATTAGAAAGTTAAAACTTAAAAGTTTTTGTTTGAGCCGTCCTTTACATTGTATGAAAAGTCAGTGATGATTTCTTTGAACTATATCATATGATGGTAGTTCTATAACCTATGGGACATGGCTGAACATGATGGGATGGGATGGGATGGAATGGAATGGAATGGAATATGATCAAATATGATTGGATGTGATGAGATATGGAACCTAATGATATATGACGGTGTAATGTGGAGGCTTGCCAGAGGTGGGATTATAACCCAGGCCGTCTGGTCGATATTTCAAAGGCCAACCGGGTGAACCACCACAAGTTTTTGGAAAGCAAGACCCAAATGCTGAGCTTCTATGCGATTGGAAGGTATTATTGAAATAATATATACAACCGTGGACGCCGGGGCTCAAACCCAGAACCCACGTCGCCACGTTAATAAACCGGCGCCCTACCACTGCTCTATAGAGGCGGAGGGAACGCCGAAAACGGGTGGAAAACAAAAGACGTATGAAAGCCCACCTGCTAAGGTTTAGGCGGGAAATAAACAAAGGACGCCAGGGGAAAGACTGGCTCTCTCAAACACTGAGGAAATGATAACTGAAAAAAACACACTTTCCCAACAGAAAGATAACCAAAGGAGAATGAAAAGAGGAAGGGGCAAACTTGTCCCTTCTCTAGTTTTAGTTACTTATCTCTCTCTCTCTAAAGGAAGAAAGACACGACTCGAAAAAGGGGGATAGGCTCGAGAAGCGACAAAGAGAAAAGAAGCTCAAGGAAAATCCTCTTAGAGCTTCTTACCGAGATTACCGGCCGGTCTGTTTGCCAGAATTCTGGAACAAAGACTCAGCAAGGTGTGTCTTCTTCCCAGCCCTTATAAAGCCCCCTGAGCAGGTGTGGCTCATTTGGGTCGTTGACTCCCCCTGGTGGCCGGCGGTGGCCTAGCCCGGGAGCCAACCCTTACAGACGGGATGTGATGTATCATGACAGGATGTAATGTGATACAATGAGACATGAGTAAGATATAGTAGGTTATGATGGGGATATGCTGGGATCTGTGCTGAAAAAAAGGAACCTGTAACTGATTCAGGAAACATTTGATGGGTTTGTAATAGAACCTAAAGACAGTCTACAGGAAATAAATGGTATCTAATGGTAACCAAAAAGCCAGTTCCCATTAAGGAGCAAGACCAATGGGATGTCATGGGATGTGTTGGGTTATGATGGGATGTGATGGAATATGAGGGGATGTGATGAGATTAGAGGACATGAGGGGATATAATGACATATGGTAGGATGTGATGAGATATGATGGGATGTGGTAGAAGTAATGGAATGTATGAACACACCTGTGTCTCCTGCTCTCTCCTCGTCCCTCTTTGTTCTCCAGTCTTCAACTGTCCTTTTCTCTGTCCTACAGAATGAAACCACACAGGGTGAGACACACTTACTGCACATATCCCAAAAGTGTGTGTGTGTGTGTGTGTGTGTGTGTGTACCTCTGTATTTCCAGTAGGTGATTCCTCCAAGTCCCAACAAGAGGAAAACAACAGGAATAAAGAAAAAGAAGAAATGCATGCTGGGAGTTGAGGTAGTGGTAGAATCTGTGTTTGTGGAACCTAATGTGGGAGTGTGTACGTTGAGAGAGAGAGAGAGAGAGAGAGAGAGAGAGAGAGAGAGAGACACCGCACATACAATAGGGGTTAATACTGCTGCCTTGCCACTGCTATACACACGTGTTAGAATCACTGTTGAAGGTATAACACTGTTGGGATCAGACCACAACTCCTAAACACACTCAAATGAGGAATCAAACACAACATTCTTCTCTGGAACACTGGGACAAGATAACCAAACAACAAAACAAATTGATCTGCTATCGAGCCATAAGAGATAATCTGTATCTCTTCTCTGTCAGAGATATTCAGCAGAGGCACATCCTGACCAAAAACAAGAGAGCAGGGAAGACACAGAAAAAAACCTGACTGTCCAGAGAAGAGATGCTGTGTGGTCAGAGGCAGTTTTATTAGGAGAGGAAAAAATGCTGCACTGGCGGGCAGATATGTAGAGGAGTGCCACAGCCTGAGAGAGAGTGGGTCAGCAGAGTGAAGGGGCACCATGAGTAAAATGCAATTTTCAGTATATAATATTTAATGCATAATATATAATAGTGTTAATATATGTGGAACTGAATTTGTGATATGCCTTTGTGAATGATATGTGTATGAACTGTGTATGTGCGAGTGTGTGAGTGAGACTGTTAAACATGTTACATGCTTTAGCCACACTGCCATGTGATATGGTCAAGCCAGTAATGTATAGCTAACACACAATGGAGCAGTTATAGTGGTTTACTGGTGTGTCCACTGACCACTGCAGTAAACACTGACTTCACAACACACTCCAAACACAATCCACACACACCTACTGTACACACACCCTCACTACAGAACTCTCTCAGCAGAGCTTCACCGAAGGAGTGTTTCTAACGTAGCAGTAACAAAAGCTCATAAATACATATACATATATGATCACATCTATTAATAAGATTAACTTTGCACAAAGAAAACATCCAAATATGTTTCTTACCTTTAACAGTGAGTTTAAAATAGATGTATCCACTCCCTTGAACAAAACACTGGTAACCTCCTCCATCCTCTTCAGTCAGGTGTGATATGAGTAGAGAGAGATTTCCTGGAGAGTGATCATTAAACAGCTGAACTCTGTTTCTGTACTGACCACTCTCTCTGGATATCTCCTCCCATGTGTCATTGTTTGTGTTGTGTTTTGTCCAGGTTAATGTCCCAGGTTTGGTGTTTAGGTCAGTGCAGTAGCAGGACAGCAGTACTGACCCTCTTGAATGTCCTGTGATAGGCAATGTTTGACTCATGTTCACCAGAGTGCAGCTTGCAGAAACACCTATCAGTAAGATCCGGTTAATCACTCTCTTTTTTCACAAAACTTATTATTTAATAAATAAGAAAAAAGCAGATTTGATTAGTAGAAACTTTGATCAGAAGATACATCAACAATGTTATGAATATCAAAAGAACATGTCATATTCACCTTGAATAACTTGAAGCCCAGTGAAGAGAAGATAAAAAGTCAGCAACATCCTCACTAGTAAAACAACACTGAGTTCACAGCACACTGACAGCTCCACACCCAGCACTACACTAGCCCTGTATACCACACTGAGTACACAGCTCTCTCAGCAGCTCTTCACTGGAGTCTAACCCACTCTAATGTCCGTGCAGCTCACAGCAGCTGGGAGAGAATCGACTTTACTGGAACGTTTATTTCTTTTGAAGTTTTCGTCACACAGCAAATCCACACACAGTGACGTGGCGTCCTCTGAGTGGAGCGATCACTGTTTCCTCTTTTGTGGTGCATCATTTCCCAATACACACACGCCCACACTGATGTTACTCCATCTGCAGTGGACATGGGGTGGGGGTGGGGTTAAGGAACAGAGGTTGAGTGTCTGCTAAAGATGAGAGAGAGTGGACATGAGAAACAAAAGTAACTAAGTAAATCTAAATAATTAGAGGTTGTGAGGAGATCACTTCATTTGGAAAAGCCAGTGTTTCAGTAACAAAGGCTACTGTAGCACCACTGAATTCATTACTGTATCATGTGCATATGTTGGGGTGCTGAAAGCTTGTCCTCAAGAAAACACTGACAATACTGTGAACATGTCTGCCTGGAGGACTGATGTTCTTTCTATTCATCTTAAATTATAAGATGTACATGGTGTTTGATGTATGATGAGTTTAAATGACTCATTGAATACAAAAGAATAGCACTATGTTTAGAAAGCAACCGTGAGACGTTTTAAGCTGGGAACTGAAACTATGATGATGAGCTAATACTACGACTCACAGGCAGTTATTTTTAAAATGACTGATCTAGCTGATTCAGTCTGTGTTCCGTTTGTAGCCACTTCACACAACAGATACATCTCTCAAAGAAATGTTTCACTTGTAAAGTTTAAACTGAACAAAGGCCATGTAACCCAACTCTGACCACATGCACTTTTCTTCTTCATTCTGTGGTCTCACTAGTTTTTCTCTCAGGGGCCTTTAAAGCAAGGACATGTGGCTTCAAGCTAGGCCTTGTAATATTATAATATTTAATATATAAAATTTCTCAAGCAGAAACAGGTCCCTGTTAGATGTAGAGCCCACATTATATTGGGCTGTTCTTTATTGGCGTCTTTGTGTTTGGGTGAGGTCTGAAGATGGATGGAGAAACTATGGGAATGAAAGCTGACATGATGTCAAACATGGAGGCTGAAGACCATTCTTAGAGAGAGGAGAGCCTGATCTTCTTTGGGTTTTGGTTGTGGACTTTGCCAAGAGATGTCAAGCTATAGTACCAAAGTATGGCAACTTGTACTTTAAACACATTCATGCCTTAGAATCATCTTAATTTTGTGGGGAGTCAAACGGTTAAGACATCTTCAGGGTGCATCTTTAATGGCACACATAGGCCACCTCTTTGTCTAGATTCAATAGATCCTCACGCAGGTTTCCTTGGTGCATTTCTGTTTTGTTGTGTATCTTTTGTTTTCCATTTGCCTTGTGAAATACTCAAATAAGAATGTGTTTTGTTTTTGTTTTGTTGGCTAGGCTTGCCTCTTTGTAGGCCTTCAGAGGTCCAGTTTCCCTTATCTTATTTTCTAAAGAGAGAAGAGAGTAGGTAAGCATTGCCATATTAACAGAACTTGTTAACAGAACTTGCACGCGTTGTAAATATGTTGCCATCACTTCCCTAATGAGCAGCTGTTGTTAACACTTGCACTGAATTAACCCCCTACAAAGCCAAGGACCTGCTGGTCCGAAGTTTTCTATGACCTAAGAAAAGCTCCATTAGTTTGCATTGAAGTCCCTGTAGTTACTGAGTAATAAGCCTTAGTATGTTAGTATAATATAAGCCTGGAATGTTATGGGGTTAATGAACAGCGGGCATTGTCAAGTGTGTTTTAGCTTTTTATTTCTTCTAGACATTAACTCTACACCTGAGTCACATCAGGAGCTAATGATCAAGCAAATCTTAATCATCTTGATCAAACTGTATCAGATGTGTTACAGCAGGAAGTCATTGCTCTGCAGAGCAGGTGAACTACAGGCTGGAGCTTAGAAAATGTGGCAGTAGCTTTTTAAGAATAAGAACAAAAACATGGGCAGAATTATGATGATAAGACTCACTATTTAAAATAGCAAGACTTTGCAACTACTCAATATTGATAATCAGCAATGGCGAAGGTGGGGGTTTTGAACTCTCCGACCTCATTCTTCCTTCCATGTCAGTTCCAGAACAACCATGTTGATGCACGTAGGAAGGTTTTCAGCACCTTGGTCAGTGACTAGCAGTTTTAGGACACTCCCAGCCTCAAAGAGCCAGATGAGATCTCGTACTGACAGTGGTGGACGAAGTACACAAATCATGTACTTGAGTTAAAGTAGAGATACCCAAGGTAAAATATTACTGCAGTAAAAGTAGAAGTTCCTCCCTTTAGACCTCCACTTGAGTAAAAGTACAAAAGTATTTGCCTTCAAGTGTACTTAAGTATCGAAAGTAAAAGTACTAAAAGATTAATTATGACTTTAATGTCCTATTACCATTTTGTATCAAGACTCTGCTTCATTAACTCATTTTAAAAAATTGTGAAAATACTAATACTTTAATATTATAATATTTAATATTAAATTTCTCAAGCAGAAGCAGGTCCCTGTTTGATGTAGAGCACATTATATTGGCCTGTTCTTTATTGGCGTCTTTGTGTTTGGGTGGGGTCTGAAGATGGATGGAGAAACTATGGGAATGAAAGCTGACATGATGCCAAACATGGAGGCTGAAGACCATTCTTAGAAAGAGGAGAGCCTGTTCGTCTCTGGGTTATGCTTTGGTTGTGGACTTTGCCAAGAGATGTCAAGCTATAGTACTGACGTCTTGTAGAAGTATGGCAACTTGTATTTTAAACACTTTCATGCCTTAGAATCATCTTAGTTATGTGGGGAGTCAAGCGGTGAAGACCGAGGTGCGTCTTTAATGGCGCACATAGGCCACATCTTTGGCTAGATTCATTAGATCAGCAGACTGTTTCCCTTGGTGTATTATTTATTTATTTTTTTGTGTGTTTTTGTACCTTTTTGTTTTCTATTTATCTTGTGGAATACTCAAAAAAGAAAGTGTGTTTGTTTGTTTGTTCTTTTGTTGGTCAGGCTTGTCTCTTTATAGGCCTTCAGAGGTCCAGTTCCCCTTATCTTACTTTTAAAGTGAACAGGTAAACATTGCCATCCCAACAGAACTTGCTAACAGAACTTATAAGTGTTGTAAACGTGTTGCCATCATTTCCCTAATGAGTGGCTGTTGTTAATGCTTGCATTGAATTAATGAACAGTGGGCATGGTCAAGATGTGTCTCAGCTCTCGTCAATAAGAATAACCATTATTTCCTCTAGACATTAACTCTACACCTGAGTCACACAAGGAGCTAATGGTGAAGCAAATTTTGATCATCTTGACCAAACTTGTTAATAATCAGAATACAAACATGATGAACAGAACATGAAGAAGTAAATAATTATAATGACACTATTTAATGTGGCAAGACTTTGCAACAACTCAGTACTGATAATCAGCAATGGTAAATGTTGGGTTTGGTAACAAACTATCAGGGAAAAATTGGCAAATACAGTAGACCTAGCAACAATTTTAAGCATGTAGACTCACCTCTGTCAGGTGTATGAGGCACTCGGTTCAGTGAGATCAAAACACAAATGAACTTTCAGAAGAACTGAAAGGTATTTCAGCTTGTTTAAGTTATTTAGTGATGTGAAGAGTGCATGTGAGGAAGGTCAGGAGCTTTGGTTTTGGACTGAGGTTTTAAACTGCTGGCCACAGCCAGAGTACTTGAGCAGTCTGAGGTCATGCTAGTTCATTTCACTTCAGCCTCATTGAATGTGCACAATTAACAGACTTCTCAGTTATTTGAAGTCTCCAACCTCATTCCTCATTCCAAGTAGGTTTCAGAATAACCGTGCATGTAGGAAGGTTTTCAGCACCTTGGTCAGCGACCCAGTTTTAGGACAATCCCAGCCTTGTTGGGCCAGATGTGATGTCGTACCGACATCATACATGTCATACTTGTCATATACACCGATTAGGCATAATCTCTGCACACCGATAAGTATGCAGAGAAACAGATGGACTACAGTCTGTAATTGTAGAACTACAAAGTGCACCTATACAGTAAGTGGAGCTGATAAAATGGACAATGAGTGTAGAAACAAGGAGGTGGTCATAATGTTATGCCTGATTGGTGTATGTCTGGGCACAACCCTTTTGAAATTTTGGTGCTGAATTGCAGTGCAAGTAAAGGTACGTCCCCTCTAAATTCCACTCTAAATCCATATAGCCTGGAGTAAAATCAATAACACACATGAAACAGGCTAGTTAGCCCACAACTTTTCTTCAAAATGTTTCAGAAACGCCCTTCAATTTAGTTTTGTTGGAAATGTAACATTACTCGATACACAAAATCGATTCAGTGGAATCCCTTTTGAAGAAATGATCAGGAGAAAAGAGCTGTCTCAGCTCTTTTGCCAATAGAATAGAGTAATGGTTTAGTCTACCAAGTCTGGCCTAGCTGTGGACAAATTCATACCATTTCTTATTGGTGTAAATGTAATTATGCGTTTTTATTATTATCATTGTTTGCTGTGGACAAAAGGTAATTTTTTGGCAGGGCTGTTGTCCACCAGACAGTGTTGAGGACCACAATACTGAAGTGTCCCATCCCCACGGAGACCAACGTCCCCATTTCTTACATCCCCAGTCGTGTAATCTCGATATGAGGTCATATTTGGCTGGGCAAGAATAGGATGCTCCAGATATTCACAGGGACGGGATCACCACTCATGAGTATGGGTTTTTGATGTATTACTGTTCACATGACTCTCTGTAATGCAGTCTACCACTCACAGTACAGTCTCCAGTACAAAGCAGACAAATGACACGCTAAATTTTTAAGTGACAATAAGTTAAGAGAGAACACACTTCTACACATTTTTGTGCATAATTACTGGTTATTTGTTGAGTTTAACATATAAATACTACATAAAATGTGGCCTGTGAAAAAACTTATGGCACATTTTAAATATAATACTTTTTTCCAGTATGTTAAACTCAGCAAAAACAGAAATTGTGCACTAAAATTTGCAGGAAAAAAAGAGTGTGTTTTCGGTAGATAA